CCACATACACAATTCTGTTCAGATTCATGGATGTAGAGAAGGAGGACATGCAGAGGGTTGGTGTTGCAGAAAAATACTGTAGTTCACCTTTTTTAAAGATTGATTAGTCAGTTAATCGAGGCACAATGCCGAAACCCGGGATTGAACCAGGGACCTTCAGAACTTCAGTCTGACGCTCTCCCAACTGAGCTATTTCGGCAATGTACTACACATGGAGAATGAGGGAGAGCACTGTAATCAGACCAAAACAGTCAAATAATGCCACCTGGTCCAATCAGAGACATTATCAGTTGTTGATCAAATGATGACCAAAAAGTCGTATATAAAAGCAAAATGCACTTACAGAAAGGACACAGGATTAATAAATGCTGCAGAGAATCATTATGTGATTTATTGCACAGAGCAATAAAACTGTAGAGCTAATAAAGACTGAAGATCTGAGGGTCCTAGGTTCAAGTCCAGGTTTTGGCAATGTAGTACATTTCTGTGGAGCACAAAGTTCAGATTATTGCCAGTTTGCAAGTCTCAGTAGAACAGTGAAGCTTTACAGTCTTAAACAGGCCGCCTGTAATTATCATTGTTTAATTATTATTTTATAAGCTGTAGAAGTGCCATAAAATCTGCTGTCTGTAATAGAGGAATGACAGATACTTCTGATAAATCAAAGGGGAGCATCATTAACCGAGTCTATCTTTTGCTTTTTTTCACACGTCCTCTGTAGGTGACCGTCAGCTCCCTGAAGGATGTTCTAAAATACTTCATTGAAAAAACTGAGTATCGGCTTTGTCCTTTCATTCCATCTCAGCCCTACGACACTTTGATCGGTGAGAGTACTGCTTTTAAAAATGGTTACAGTGAAGTGGGCAACTCCTAACCACAGATTGTGTTCAATAGAGGCGTCACCAGCTCCCAAGTGCCTCGACACAACCCCACGTGCACCTAAACCACTACCAAAGGCACACGTGCCCCCTATGCTGCGGTCACGGACCAAAGAGGAGATTCTGCCAAACAAGCCTGATGAGGGAGAATATGTCATTCCTGATGATCCCAATGACTCCAGCCTGAATCTAGGTGAGCAGAGTCAATGTTGATTTAAAAACAAAACAAACAAGCGAACGGGCAGAAGGTTAAATCACGGCAAATGTAACAGCAAGTCTAAATGACTCGAATGCTTTTGTCTAAACCAGCTCAGTTGGATGATGAGCTCAGGAGAGCCCTAAAACAACGGAGAGAAAACATCTATGTTTCGACTGATGAGAAAGTCTCCCCCTATGAAACAAAACTGAATGGAAAAACAACAATCTAACACGGCACGGTGGACGACCGAGAAACCGACAGCGTGAAGTAGGGACTGGTGTAACCTGACAAGTATAACGTTAAACTTTTACCTACAGCTCAGAGATCACAATGTTCACGGTGAAAATGGCTAAATTCTGCTTTATTGAAACAAAATTTATACATTTTTCTCCAAGATGGGAGAGTTTGGACCGTTGCTTAAATATTGTGACCAAATGAGCGGACGGTGCTAGATGATCAAAGGAATTTCTGTGTTTATTTCAGTGACCACTAATATCTGCATCAGTCATTGCAATCCAGCTGAGGGGTGTCAATAAAAAAGCTGAACATTTCATCCCGTAGTCAGTCCCAAAAACTTTGTAAAAGATTAAATGTTTGTTCAAATCTTTGTACCTGTGGATGGATCCGTATTGGAACTTTTACACTGAGGGTTCACCAAAGTAATCAACCCCCTCGGGAACTTGGATGTTAAGGAATGAAAAGTCATGCCCTGGATGTTTGAGGATGCTTAGACTGGGCTGAGGGCGGCCATCAGTGACACCGCCACAGCTAAAGTAATAATACCAGAAGCAGGAGGGTCTGAACATGAGGATGAAACATGTTTGAGAGCCCGAGAATATTTTTTAAAAAGCTTGGACAATTTCTAGATAAGATTTTTCACATTGCAGAGTTGTAAGATTATCAGTGAACGTCTTTAATATGTTCTTGATGAAAGATTGTTTACATGTCCAACGTTGCATCACTGTACTCCATTTTTGTATTTTTAATAAGTTTTGTAAGAGTGAGCTTAAACACTGTCACTGGGGTTGAATATGATTCCAACTCTGCTGAGTGCTTTCTTGATTTACTGATTGATTGATGACTATTTTCACAATACAAAAGTGATGACTCTGATGTCAAAAATCTCACGTAGGTGAAAACAATCAACTGCCAAAGTAACATGAATAGGTTTTGCGGATTAGCTTTGGTTTTTGTCTCAGCTTCTGCCTGTTATTCATGTTTAAATGTGTAAAAAAAAAAGAAGAAGAAAAGAAACATAAAAGCTTAAAGCACTGTTGTTTATTTCAGATCAATGTATAATTAAATTGTAAATATAGAAAACTGATGTTTCTTCTTATTCTTTATTAATAAATTAAAAACAAACAAACAAAAAAAAAACCCACAGACACAATCCAGGATCATTGTTATTTTTTTTTAATTTTCCACACACAGGAGTAAGCCAACATAAACTTTTGAAATGTTATAGTTTTATAAGTTATTCCATTGAGATTGCACTTTTTTATTTTATTTTTTAGCTTTATTGTGGATCATGTTATAGGTTTAAAGTTTAAGGATCATTCATTACTCAATAAAGACAGCAAGACTGTGAAAAATATTCAATAAAAAAGAAAACCAAACACACTATCCCTTTTCGTCTCGATCCTTGACTATAGTGTTTATTTTTTGTTGTTTTTTAAGAGTAACGGTCTCTTCCTGTTTCACATTTCTTATATTCAGGTCCTTTACACTCTGTTGTAGCAGCCTTCGTGTGAGAAATACAAATAAAATATCTGTAATAAGTTAACATCTCAGGATTTAAAAAATAAAACAGAATAAATAAGATGATTGTTCCCTAATGTAGACCTGCCTCCGCCTGCCCTTGTCGGTGTTACATTACTTTTCGGTGAGTGACAGCTGCAGGATCCTCTCCAGCTCCTCCTCCTCCTCCTTACGCTTCCTGTAGCAAAATAAGAAGTTCATCTGTCAGAACACTGACAGTATCATCACTTTAAGATGACTTTCTTCACAGATTTAAGGCGTCTGAAAGGCTGTTCGGATCGTGTTATAAGTGTAATCTGATAATAATAATAATAATAATAATAATAATGGATTGCATTTTATACAGCGCTTTTCGGGGCTCTCAAAGCGCTGTACAATTCCACTATTCATTCACTCTCACATTCACACACTGGTGGAGGCAAGCTACAGTTGTAGGCTGCCATATCGCACCATCACCAGTAGGCGAAGTGTCTTGCCCAAGGACACAACGACCGAGACTGTCCAAGCCGGGGCTCGAACTGGCAACCTTCCGGTTACAAGACGAACTGCCAAGCCACGATCGCCCGACAGTGTGTTAAAGTAGTGTTAAATGTAAAGTGGTGTATTTGATATCCCCGTGTAGGTGTTCCGGCATCATCTTAACCCTTCAAAGCATGAATCACAAAATAATTGTCAGAAAATTCCAATTTTTTAACAATGGAGTATTTGGTGAATCTTCTGATGAAATTAAAAAAACATGAAATATTAATTTGCATATATGAGTTTAAATTTGTATCATATTTTATAATATTTTTTGCAATTTATTCCATACAAATATCTCCTGCACTTTATTTGGGTTTTTTCAGGGGGTGGGGTTAGGGGAGGGAGATCACACTTGTGATGTAATCTCAAAAACTCACTTAACAAATATGATTTGGCTTTAAAGGGATCAAGCACATTGTTGTGAGCCTTCCAATGTGGGAGTGGGGGGTTTGTTTATATTAAATTTTCCTCCAGAACAAACAGTAAACATTTAACTCTTTTCTTTAATCAGTTTGTACACAAGAACATATTATCAACTTAGGTTTGCCATTAGCCAAATTTAGGTTACTCGTGTTTTAAAAGCATTAACTTCTTGGCTAATGCTGACTGGCCATTTGCGATGCTGATCCTGGAGCAACATTAGTATTGATGATGCAGGAACAACACCAACACACCAAAAGATTGAACAAATGTGGCTTGTTTGGAAGGACTGAAAGAAGAAAGCCTCCTCTCTCTAAAAAGCACATGGCAGAACAGATTGGGTTTGCAAAGCTGCATCTGAACAAAGCACAAGACTTTTGGAACAATGTCCTTTGGACAGACGAGGGGTGATGATCTGGGCTTGTTTTGCAGTCACAGGGCCTGGGCACCTTGTAGTCATTGAGTGGACTATGAACTCCTCTGTATACCAAAGCATTCTAGAGTCAAATGTGAGGCCATCTGTCACAACAGAAGGGCTGACTCAACCTGATTGAAATGCTGTGGTAGGGCATTAAGAGAAACCCTGCCAACCTCGATGAACTGAAGCAATGTTGTAAAGAAGCGTGACGTGAGAGACTGATGTAGAAAATAATTAGGTCAAGTTATTTATACTGAAAGGTGTTTCTACAAGCTTCTCAATCATATGGTGTACTCCATTTTTCACAGGACCATAGCTGAAAAAAAAGTTGTCAATCTAAGAAAACTGCACAGTTCTTGCTGAAGCGCGCATGAATTATGAAAATCAAGAAATTTACTAATAAAAAACAGGTTGAACAGGTGAATGCATTTAATCAGGTTACCACCCAAACGAAAGGCACCAAAAGCAACGTGACTTCACACCGAATTTGCAGCTCATTACCATCTGACACAAAGGAGGATGGAAGAGTAAGTCACTGCTAAATGTGCATTAACTCAGCAGAGATGACTGAGGATGACTGCCTGAAAACAACACACGAGTCTGAGTCGTTGTGAGTCCAAACCTGGGTCAGAATTTTTTAATTTTTACCTTTATTTTATAAAATTGTGTCCGTAGAAGTTCACAAGACTGCAGAATGAGAAGTGACCCCCCACAGCCCTCCACTGTTTTGCTCGTTCAGTGGACTGAACCTTTCACTTTGGGCATTTAACATGTGATGAAAGCCCTCGTGCTTCATAAAGACACTTTTACACTGCCTGTACAGCTAATAGTTTGCAGGTTCAATCGGGCCTCTTCAACAGCAGCTGAACTATGAGCTGCCATTAACACCAGAAATAATTAGACCGCTACAGCTGAAG